GCCACACCGGGGCTGTGCGGGATTTCTCCTGCTCCATTGCAGCACTAGTAGTCACCCCCCTTGCACTGCATCCAGGACAGTGACCATGGCTCCTATGTGTGTACAGCCCCAAATGTGTCCCTGCAGACACCATTCAACTTCTCTATGGGGGGGTGTTATGTGGTAGCTGTCTTTAGTCTTCTTGACTGGTGGTCTCCATCTGCTGGAGGGAGGTGGTAGGGGGTCTGTGACTGAGTCACCCTTGAACAGTCCCTCTGCAGCCCTCCTACGGGGTCTTCTTTAACGGGTGGAGGGAGGGGATGTCCTGGATTCCTGGATAGAGGTCTAATTTTATTGAATTCTGGATAGATAGGAGGGGTCCCTTCTAATCACCCCCATGCACTGCTCCTATACAGTGGTCTCCTCCTGGAGTGAGGGTCAGTATTCCTATATAGAATCACCCCAATGCACTCCTCCTGTTAAGGGGTCTCTTTCTGGGGAAGGGGTGTCAGTATTTCGGAATGGATGGGAGGGGTCCCTTCTAATTACCCTCATGCACTCCTCCTGTTAAGGGGTCTCTTTCTCTTGGAGGGGGGGGGGGGGGCAGTATTTCTGCATGGATGAGAGGGGTTTTATTTTACTCCAAATATTTCCACTACCGAGGGACTTTTATTACTTCATTTTGGGGGTCTGTGTGTTCTCAGATGTGGGGGGTCTCTGATTCCTCCACTATGGGATCTCTGTTCTCCAGTACAGAGGTCCACTACTCTGTGTTATCAAGTACAAGGCCTTCTCTTTAATCTGTCCTCCAGTACAGGCCCCCTTTTACTCTGCACCCTCCAGTGTATAGGTCTCCTGCTGTGGAATGTGTGCTCTGCTGATCTGGATATGAGGAGAGAGCTGTGCCCCAGTCTGAATCCTGTTACTTATACTGTGCTCTCAATATTGGGTGAACACAGCCTGGCTGGTCAAGGCATTGTGTCTGGGCACTCATAGGGTCTCTCCGGTTCTGTAGTCTGGTGTCGTGGTCTCTTGGTGGTCTGCTATTGCATTTTGACAGCAGCTAGCAACGGAGGGTCATAGAGATGAAATCACAGTTATTGTTGTATTGATTAAGCATTGCTTACAATAATTTTAAGTCTAAGAATCACACCTAAAAGATTCATGTTTTTTTATCTTTACCTTCCTAGTAAGAAAGTTCAGTGAGCACGAGAAACCTTTAAAACTGTAAGCTGTTAGACTAAACTGTTGAGTCATGATTCCCAATCAATCAACCTGTCTTTTTATTTATATATTTTATTTAGTATGTGCGTGTCTGTCTGACTGTATATACCGTTAGGTCCATATATATTTGGACACAGGCACAATTTTAGTTTTTTTTTTTTTTTTTTTTCAGGTATTTACCAAAACATATTCAAGCTATAGTTATATAATGGATTTGGTCTGAAAGTGCACACTCTAAGGTTTAATTTGAGGGTATGTACATCCAAATTGCAGGAAGGGTTTAAGAATTACAGCTCTTAAGAGTAGCCATCACCCTTTTTCAAGGGACCAAAAGTAATTGGACAATTGAATCAAAAGCTGTTTCAAGGCCAGGTGTGGGCTGCTCCTTCATTATTTCTTCAACAATTAAGCATTTAAAAAGTCTGGAGTTGATTCTAAGTGTGGTATTTGCATTTGGAATCTATTGCTGTGAACCTACATCATACATTCAAAGGAGCTGTCCATTTAAGTGACACATTGTAAGGCTTCAAAAACAAAACAAATCCATCAGAGAGATAGCAGCAACTTCACGAGAGCAAATACAGAGGGTTCACCACAAGGTGCAAACCATTCATAAGCCTGAAGAATAGAAAAGCCAGATTAGACTTTGCCAAAAAAAATCTAAATAAGCCAGACCAGTTCTGGAAAAGCATTCTTTGGATGGATGAAACTAAGATTAATCTGTACAGAATGACGGGAAGAAAAAAGTGTGGAGAAGGCTTGGGACAGCTCATGATCCAAAGCACACACCGTCATCTGTAAAACATGGTGGAAGCAGTGTGATGGCATGGGCATGCATGGTTTCCAGTGGCACTGGGTCATTGGAGTTTATTGATGAAGTGACTGGAGACAGAAGCAGCCAGATGAATTCTGCAATGTTTAGAGATCTACTGTCATCCCAGATTCAGCTAAATGCAGCAAAGTTGATTGGACGGCGCTTCACAGTACAGATGGACAATGATTCAAAACACACTGCAAAAGCAACCCGAGAGCTTTTGAAGGAAAAGAAGTGGAATATTCTGCAATGGCCGAGTCAATACCCTGATCTCAACCAAATTGAGCATACATTTCACTTGCAAAACTGAAGGCAGAAAGACCAACTGAAGACAGCTGCAGTTAGAGCCTGGTAAAGCATCAGAAAGGAGGAAACCCAGTCTTTGGTAATGTCCGTGGGTTCCAGAATTCAGGCAGACTTCATTGCCAGTAAAGGATTCTCAACAAAATATTCAAAATGAGCATTTTTTTATGATTATATTTATTTCTCCATTTACATTTGAGCCCCTGAAAATGGAGGGACTGTGTACAAAAATGGTTTCAGTTCCTAAAATTTGTACTTGATATTTATGTTCAGCCCCTTGAATTAAAGCTGAAAGTCTGCACTTCAAATTAATTTGGATTGTTTTTGTTTAAATTTTATTCTGGTGGCATACAGAGCCAAAAGTATGAAAATTGTACCTATGTCCAAATATATATGGACCTAACTGTATTTATACACACACACATAGTACTGTGTATACCGTATTTTTCGCACCATAAGACGCACTTTTTCCCCCCAAAAAAGGGGGGGGGAAATGTCAGTGCGTCTTATGGAGCGAATATGGAGCGGCCGGTCCGGTATTTCCACTGCCGCCGTGTCAGAATACCGGGACGGCCTCTCAGCTCTACAGCGGGACCTTATAGAGATGACTGCTGACCTTTGGGGAGGGGGGGAGCGGGTACCTGAATTTGACAGGTACCCGCTCCCACTTCCGTGGAGTTGTTCTTTCATCTTACCCGTTCCTCTATCCAGCGGAGCGGTCTTCCGGCCTCTGTAGTGTGGGCATGACAGCCGGGTGCCAAGAGCGCATGCGCAGGAAGCGGTGCTTTTTGTGAATGGTAAGGCGGCACCTGGGACACATGACAGATCCCAGAAGCCGCCAGACCAATCACAAAGCGCAAGTGCTTCTCGCTCATGCGCACTGGGCACCCGGCTGTCATGCCGAGCGCCATTACAGAAGCCGGGAAGACAGCACGCGGCTGGATAGAGGAACAGGTAAGATGAAAGAACAACTCCGCGGAAGTGGGAGCGGGTATCTGTCAAATTCAGGTACCCGCTCCCCCCTCCCCAAAGGTCAGCAGTCATCCCCTGTACTATCCACAGTCTCTGGTCATCCCTGTGCTGTCCGCAGTCTCTGGTCATCTCCTGTGCTGTCCGCAGTCTCTGGTCATCCCTGTGCTGTCCGCAGTCTCTGGTCATCCCTGTACTGTGTCCGCAGTCTCTGGTCATCCCTGTACTGTGTCTGTGTGCAGTCTCTGGTCATCCCTGTACTGTGTCCGCAGTCTCTGGTCATCCCTGTACTGTGTCCGCAGTCTCTGGTCATCCCTGTACTGTGTCCGCAGTCTCTGGTCATCCCTGTACTGTGTCCGCAGTCTCTGGTCATCCCTGTACTGTGTCCGCAGTCCTGTCATCCCTGTGTCCGCAGTCTCTGGTCATCCCTGTACTGTGTCCGCAGTCTCTGGTCATCCCTGTACTGTGTCCGCAGTCTCTGGTCATCCCTGTACTGTGTCTGCAGTCTCTGGTCATCCCTGTACTGTGTCCGCAGTCTCTGGTCATCCCTGTACTGTGTCCGCAGTCTCTGGTCATCCCTGTACTGTGTCCGCAGTCTCTGGTCATCCCTGTACTGTGTCCGCAGTCTCTGGTCATCCCTGTACTGTGTCCGCAGTCTCTGGTCATCCCTGTACTGTGTCCGCAGTCTCTGGTCATCCCTGTACTGTGTCCGCAGTCTCTGGTCATCCCTGTACTGTGTCCGCAGTCTCTGGTCATCCCTGTACTGTGTCCGCAGTCTCTGGTCATCCCTGTACTGTGTCCGCAGTCTCTGGTCATCCCTGTACTGTGTCCGCAGTCTCTGGTCATCCCTGTACTGTGTCCGCAGTCTCTGGTCATCCCTGTACTGTGTCCGCAGTCTCTGGTCATCCCTGTACTGTGTCCGCAGTCTCTGGTCATCCCTGTACTGTGTCCGCAGTCTCTGGTCATCCCTGTACTGTGTCCGCAGTCTCTGGTCATCCCTGTACTGTGTCCGCAGTCTCTGGTCATCCCCTGCACTGTGTCCGCAGTCTCTGGTCATCCCCTGCACTGTGTCCGCAGTCTCTGGTCATCCCCTGCACTGTGTCCGCAGTCTCTGGTCATCCCCTGCACTGTGTCCGCAGTCTCTGGTCATCTCCTGTACTGTGTCCGCAGTCTCTGGTCATCTCCTGCACTGTGTCCGCAGTCTCTGGTCATCTCCTGCACTGTGTCCGCAGTCTCTGGTCATCTCCTGCACTGTGTCCGCAGTCTCTGGTCATCTCCTGCACTGTGTCCGCAGTCTCTGGTCATCTCCTGCACTGTGTCCGCAGTCTCTGGTCATCTCCTGTACTGTGTCCGCAGTCTCTGGTCATCTCCTGTACTGTGTCCGCAGTCTCTGGTCATCTCCTGTACTGTGTCCGCAGTCTCTGGTCATCTCCTGTACTGTGTCCGCAGTCTCTGGTCATCTCCTGTACTGTGTCCGCAGTCTCTGGTCATCTCCTGTACTGTGTCCGCAGTCTCTGGTCATCTCCTGTACTGTGTCCGCAGTCTCTGGTCATCTCCTGTACTGTGTCCGCAGTCTCTGGTCATCTCCTGTACTGTGTCCGCAGTCTCTGGTCATCTCCTGTACTGTGTCCGCAGTCTCTGGTCATCTCCTGTACTGTGTCCGCAGTCTCTGGTCATCTCCTGTACTGTGTCCGCAGTCTCTGGTCATCTCCTGTACTGTGTCCGCAGTCTCTGGTCATCTCCTGTACTGTGTCCGCAGTCTCTGGTCATCTCCTGTACTGTGTCCGCAGTCTCTGGTCATCTCCTGTACTGTGTCCGCAGTCTCTGGTCATCTCCTGTACTGTGTCCGCAGTCTCTGGTCATCTCCTGTACTGTGTCCGCAGTCTCTGGTCATCTCCTGTACTGTGCCGCAGTCTCTGGTCATCTCCTGTACTGTGGCCGCAGTCTCTGGTCATCTCCTGTACTGTGGCCGCAGTCTCTGGTCATCTCCTGTACTGTGGCCGCAGTCTGGTCATCTCCTGTACTGTGTCCGCAGTCTCTGGTCATCTCCTGTACTGTGTCCGCAGTCTCTGGTCATCTCCTGTACTGTGGCTGCAGTCTCTGGTCATCTCCTGTACTGTGGCCGCAGTCTCTGGTCATCTCCTGTACTGTGGCCGCAGTCTCTGGTCATCTCCTGTATTGTGTCCGCAGTCTCTGGTCATTTCCTGTACTGTGTCCGCAGTCTCTGGTCATCTCCTGTACTGTGTCCGCAGTCTCTGGTCATTTCCTGTACTGTGTCCGCAGTCTCTGGTCATCTCCTGTACTATGTCTGCAGTCCATTAGTTTAGAATTTTTTTTTTTCCTGTTTTCTGCCTCTAAAACCTAGGTGGAGCGAAAAATACGGTATGTCTTTGGCAGGTGTGAAAAAATGCTGTGTTAGGAATGCTTTCAGATATAGAAGTGTTAACAATGTATTTTTATCAATTAACAAAATGTAAATAAAGGAACAGAAGAGAAATCCAAATCAATTAACTATTTGGTGTGACCACCCTTTGCCTTTTAAAACAGCATCAATTCTTCTAGGTACGCTTTCAGGCTAGGTTCACACTTATGCAGTTTGTGTTTGATCGTTTCTGCAGTGCTTTTTGCGGTGCGTTTTGCATTTTTGCCCTTGCGTTTTTGATGCGTCTTGCGTTTTTTTCCCCAAGTTATTGCTGGGCAGATTAAAATGTAAATGCATCAAAAATGCACTACATGCATTTCTGCAGCGCCTCCATTAAAGTCTATTGAACCAAAAACGCAACAGTTTGCGTTTTTTAAAAATGTTCCTGACCATTTCCAAAAAACACAGCGGGTGAAAACGCTGAGATGTGAACATGTCCCATAGGAAATCATGTTAAATGGACTGCTGTGCATTTCTGCAAAATGGAAAACACATTAGGGATGCACTGATATTTCAGTGGCCTAAACGTTTCGGCTGAAAACACCCCTTTCGGCCAAAATGAAAAATAGCAATCGATACAGGTGGCCCGCCGGCTGCTACCGCTACCGGCCACCACTCGGTAGTTCAGCCTTACCTGAGAAACCATCGATCCTGGCGCTGGGCATAGAGATGAGTGAAGGAAAGCTGGCCATTTTTATTCATTTTTATTTTTTTAAAGCACTAGATCAGTGGTGGGCAACCTTTTTTTTTTCAACTGAGCCAAATCTCGCCAAAACCACGATTGAAATTTATTTTGAGAGCCACATTTTTAAAACTGAAAATACATAGGATGGTACACTGTTTTTAGTTTCAATAAGTTTTTATAGTAATTCATCCCCCATAGTAATTCATCCCCCATATAGTAATTCATCCCCCTATAGTAATTCATCCCCCATAGTAATTCATCCCCCATATAGTAATTCATCCCCCATATAGTAATTCATCCCCCCTATAGTAATTCATCCCCCTATAGTAATTCATCCCCCCATAGTAATTCATCCCCCATATAGTAATTCATCCCCCTATAGTAATTCATCCCCCCTATAGTAATTCATCCCCCCTATAGTAATTCATCCCCCCTATAGTAATTCATCCCCCATAGTAATTCATCCCCCTTATAGTAATTCATCCCCCATATTAATTCATCCCTCATGTAGTAGTAGTAAGTAAGTAGCAAGTAGTAAGCCAAGTCCCCCCTGTGTCAATTCACTTACCTTTGCTCCGCGCGTTCCTCTCGCCGTGTTCCCGCGCCGTTCCGGTCTTCAGGGCGGACCTAGCGGCCTAGCTCCTCTCACGTTCATCACGCTGCCCCGCCTACACACATCCTGACAGCCAATCACTGGCTATCAGGATGTGAGTGGCAGCGAGACTGGACAATCATTGCATTTGACCGCGCTGCCCTGGCTGTTTTTTTTTTTTGGATCACGCTGCAGAGTCCCTGCCGCCCGAGAGGAGGGAGGGGAGCGGGTGCCCGGCACACAAGAGCCGCATTAAAGCGTGTAAAGAGCCGCATGTGGCTCGCGAGCCGCGGCTTGCCGACCACTGCACTAGATGAATGATTTTTTTTTTTTTTTTTTTTGATCCAATGCTTTACAGTGGGGCAAAAAAGTATTTAGTCAGCCACCAATTGTGCAAGTTCTCCCACTTAAAAAGATGAGAGAGGCCTGTAATTGGCATCATGGGTAGACCTCAACTATGAGAGACAAAATGAGAAAAAAAATCCAGACAATCACATTGGCTGATTTGGAAAGAATTTATTTGCAAATTATGGTGGAAAATAAGTATTTGGTAACCTACAAACAAGCAAGATTTCTGGCTCTCACAGACCTGTACCTTCTTCTTTAAGAGGCTCCTCTGTCCTGCACTCATTACCTGTATCAATGGCACCTGTTTGAACTTGTTATCAGTATTAAAGACACCTGTCCACAACCTCAAACAGTCACACTCCAAACTCCACTATGGTGAAGACCAAAGAGCTGTCGAAGGACACCAGAAACAAAATTGTAGACCTGCACCAGGCTGGGAAGACTGAATCTACAATAGGCAAGCAGCTTGGTGTGAACAAATCAACTGTGGGAGTAATAATTAGAAAATGGAAGGCATACAAGACCACTGATAAAGCGTGACATGTTGGCTATCTATTTACTCGCCGTAACATCCTCTTTCATATTTTACAAAAAAATGGAGTATATATAGTTTTTTTTTTAATCGAAGTGTATTTTTTTCCAAAAAATATATATTCATTTTTAAAAACTGCACATTTCGGTTTTCGGCCGAATGCATTTTGAATTTTCGGTTTCAGCACCAGAATTTTCATTTCAGTGCACCACTAAAACACATATAGGTGTGAACCTAGACAGGTTTTGAAGGAACTCGGTAGGTAGGTTGTTCCAAACAACTTGGAGAATTAACCACAGATCTTTTGTGGATGTATGCTGCCTCAAATCCTTCTGTCACTTCATGTAATCCCAGACAGACTTGATTTTGAGATCAGGGCTCTGTGGAGGCCCAACCCTCACTTCAAGGACTCCTTGCTCTTCTTTACACTGAAGATAGTTCTTAATGTCATTGGCTGCGTAGTTGAGTCTATTAGCATTGTTTCTATGCCCTATGCATGAAAACATAGGGACTGGGGTGCAGAAAAATAGCTGCAGGTGCTCTGGACTGATGAGTCAAAATTTTAAATCTATTTGGCTGTAGCAAAAGGCAGGTTGTTCATGAAGGGCTGGAGAGGGGGTACAATAATGAGTGTCTGTTTGCAGGTAACAGTGAAGCATGGTGGAGATTCCTTGCAAGTTTGGGGCTGCATTTCTGCAAATGGAGTTGGAGATTTGATAAATAGTGTCCTCAATGCTAAAAGATATAGGCAGTTACTTATCCATCATGCCATACCATCAGGAAGGCATGTGATTGGCTCCAGATTTATTCTGCAGCAGGACAACAACCCCAAACATGCAGCCAATGTCATGAAGAACTATCTTCAGTGTAAAGAAGAACATGGAGTCCAGGAAGTGATGGTTTGTTCCCCACAGAGCCCTGATCGCAACATCATGGAGTCTGTCTTGGATTACATGAAGGGGCAGAAGGATTTGAGGCAGCCTACATCCACAGATCTGTGGCTACGTCTCCAAGATGTGTGGAACCACCAACCTGCTGAGTTCCTTCAAAACTGCTTGCAAGTGTACCTAGATGAACTGATGCTGTTTTTAAGGCAAAGGGTTGTCACACCAAATATTGAATTGATTCGGATTTCTCTTCTGTTCATTAACTTTCCATTTTGTTAACATTTTGCACAGTACTGTGTATATATTATGTGTATATATTATATTTTACTATATTTATTTTTAACAAACATGCCCAAAGTATATATACTTGTCTGTGTCTGCATAATTTGGCTCACGAGAGACTTTGGCAGGCAGCTAGCTATGCCCATTATGATATCCATTTCCTTTGCAGCACATATGGTTACACTTATAATAAGACAAACTAGAAGCCTGCGAGATATGTATATAGCACACACCCATAATCTTTCTTTCTTCTTCACCGCACTGCAGCTTTGTCCTGTGCAAATCAAACCTCAGTTTTATAGCCAGACCTCAGATTTCATACCCGCCCTGGCTTGGCACGTCTGCTCAACAAGTGTCCATGTGGTACGGCAAAGCTCCTGCATTCTGATGAACTGATTAGGAATTCCATGCTCTGCAATAATGTGCCTTTTATTATGCCCCAAAGAGCTCTGTATTAATGGCGAGCCTTGCAAGCATGCCTCAGATCACTGATAGATTTATAGGGCCAAAGTCTGTTGTATAAAACCTTCTCTGTTGAATTCCTTGGCTGCTGAATTTATACATAGCTTTTATTATATGCACTTATACGGATTGGTTTTCTTTTTAGTATCTTAATTATATGTTAGGATTTTTAGAAATGAATGAATGTTTTTATATAGGGATTAGCCTTGTATTGGGGTTTGTTTCACACGTCTGTATTTTTTTTTTTTTTTTGGTTTTCAAAGTGAAACCGTTTTTTATTCTTTTTATTTACAGTGGCTGTTCTCAACTTTTTTAAGGCCAGGACATGGCAAGTTTTTTTCAAATAGCTTCCATGCCCTAACAAAAGGTTTATTTTCACAGCATAAATGTGTGGGAATTCAGAATATGTATAAAAGAGTGTATGTGGTTCAATTAAATAAACACTCTGCTAGTGGTTGTCTCGTCATTTTCACCCCCCCCCCCCTTCTCTGGAATGAGCCTACGTCCTGCATGAGATCTCTTCTACCCCCCACTGGGCCTGTCCTCTTTAAGGTGGTTCTAAAGGCAGAAGGTTTTTACATCATTTCATTCTGTGCATTAAGGTAAAACAACTTCTGGGTGCAGCCCCCCCCCATACTTACCTGAGCCCTATCTCGATCCAGTGATGTGAACAAGAGCTGCGGCTCTCCTGGGTCTCTCTTTCCTTATTGGGTCACACAGCAGCAGGAGCCATTGGCTCCTGCTGCTGTCAATCACAGCCAGTGAGCCAATGTGGAGAGAGCGGGGAGTGGAGCTGAGCAACACTGTATGTCCATTCACAGGAGCATGGCTCAGGAGCAAGCCAGCTCGAGTACCCCATATCAAGAGGCTTGCTATTTATGTATTTATTTCAGGTACTTGTATAGCGCCGTCAATCTACGCAGCACTTTACACATATATTGTACATTCACATCAGTCCCTAACCCTCAAGGGGTGTACAATCTAAGGTCCCTAACTTACATTCATACATACACATATTAGGTCCAATTTAGACAGAATCCAATTACCTACCAGCATGTCTTTAGAGTGTGGGAGGAAACCCACGCAGGCACAGGGAGAACATGCAAACTCCAGGCAGGTGGTGCCGTGCTATTGAGTGCATTCAGCTGAGGGAGGAGTCAGGATAGCGGGGGACCCAAACAGAAGAGCAGGTAAGTGTACCATCAAATTAGAAAGACAAGCAAGCGCTCAGAGGCG